CTTAAATAACTGTTTCGTTTTACTGGTCAAAAATACTTGTTACTACTTAATAACCTTGCACGAAAAACTTAACTAACATCAATTAATCACTAATACTTAACGCAGAACATAACGCAAAGGTACATCATCCGGGGTCGCCACAACACAACTCAAAAAGAATCATATCATAGGAATAGAAACAGCATACGCAATAGTAATAAAGAATAAATGGTTTAAAAAGGAGGAATGAAACCAAAGGATAAAAATGTACAAAACTATATTAAGACTGAAGATTCTGGGGAAAATAAGTAATGTGTACACTTTTACCTTCTTTTTAGAAACATCATATTGGCCATGCTTGCCCCATGGATGCCATCATTTATTTAGTTAAACACAAAAACACTGGTACAGATGGGTACCAAAACATATGTGCGCCGTATAATCAAAATGAGACTATAAAGAGGAAAGTGAGTATAATAAAAAGGAATAAATGAATAAAAATTAGTGTACGAGTGGTGAAGAATTACGGTGCGAGAAGCAATACACTTAAGAAAAATAAAACCAGAAATGATTTTTCCAGTTAAAGTTTCTCTCATTTAAATGAACAAAGCAAAAGAAAATCACACCAGGATCGCCATTGGTTTCTATTCTGAACCATGTACGATAACGTCTTAAGCTTATGAAGATTTGTAGTTCAGGTGCATGATTTAGGTGGAACTTTTTCTCGAATGGGTGTCCACAGTTATCCAAATGCATTGATATAAGCGAAGATATTTCATAAAATACAATGACTGTTGGCCTGCAATAAGTATTTATTTAAGCACATAAACATTAGTACAAGGAGGCACCAACTATATATGCGCCACATAAATCATTCGATTTGTGTGAGGGCTGCGATACTGTCTGGTTGCCCAAACCGAAACAGGTGGTCTTCTAAGGGGGCCACACCCAGAGCCTTCGAACTAAATGTCAGATCCACAAGGCAGTAGGCAACGTCAAGAGATGCAGTCCCATGGTATCCGATCGCCAACAATTGGTTCATATGCCATCTGTTTGATTAGGATACTGGAGCACATGTGCACCAACTCCCCCAGGTAAATCCTCCATATCCACCAACCCGGTTAAAGCGCCAGAAATTCGCCTTTCGTCCTCTCAATTTCGTAAGCAACAACCCCCCCACCACACGAGAAGGCAGTGAGTAGGACTTCCCTGGCAGTGGTTTTATGCACGTGGCCATGTGAGAGCATTTCGTGAGGAAGAGCTGACTCTCCCAGTCTCGGCCGTACCAGGGCATTTGGAGGCTTGCAATAAGTATGGTGTTCTAACATTTAGAGGAGGTTGGAGATATGATCAATACATCCTCGACCAGAACGAAAACCAGCCTTCTCCTAGCGAATCATTTTTTCCCAGGCTTTGAGCACACTGGGATGTATGACGGAAGCCAATAATTCGGACACAATCGGAAGAAGCCTTATCCCCCAATAGTTACTGCATAGATAAGATGAACCCTTTGTAAAGATTGGGACTATAATCAACTCATTCCCAGATGTTGGAACACTCAAATTCCTCACCGTTTGCAAACAACTCAGTCAGTTCCATAACCAGAAGATCGCCACCACCCTTAAAAAGGGCCGGAGGCGAGTTATCTGGGCTTGGCGACTTACGGTGTGTCAGAAGATGGTATTCCTTGTGGACTCCCATCTCCTTAGGTGGATCAGTCGACACTGATCAGGAAGGACAAAATAGAGTTTTTGGTGTCACCGGGGCAGCAGATTATTTGAACTGTCCCTCGAAGAACTCTGACCATCATTCAAGACGTCAGTGGAAGTTATTGATTGGCGACCCAACACCACAGATCGTTCTACACTAGACGTCTTGCTTCTGGTGCCTCAGTTGAACTGAAAAATCTTACATCAGCTACCAGATACAGCCACTGTCTTCAAATCGTTAACACACGCCGACCACCAGGCTTCTTAGTCCTTACGCACTCTCCACAATTTCATTACATAAGAATCTATTTTCAACGTCAAACACACGGTTACCCGGAAAAGACCGAAGTGCTCCAACGAGTTGTAGAGCCTATAGAAAATCAGCGATTAAAGCCAATTTCATGGAATCAGCCAAATGTAGCCAATGCTCACCTATACTTTTCGGTGGGTTGATAGCTAGACTTGAACCTAACTCGGTTTGCTACCTAGTTGCAAGAGAAAATGAAGACTATTTGCCTATGTCGATTCATTTAGGGTGATGAATTTGTTGGTCACTAAAACATAAGATAGGAGTAGCATAAATGATTGCATGATCAGAGTCCATATAAGTACTCCAAAAGGAGAGGTAGTCTTGTATACAACCACGCCAACGGCAGCTGGTCGAAATGTGATCAATTTGAATTCATTTTTGAGATGTAGAGGTAGGATGCTAGATAACACATAGCGATAACTGTGCCGATAGTCAGTGCTAGCCAGAAACAGGTTGTAGTTTCAGCAAATTTGTAGGAAACATTCGCCGTTATCTGACCTGTGATCAACAAGTCTCCATGGGCCACCCAAAAGGCTCTCTTCTGTACCTAGAGGTCTTACCAATGCATTCAATTTTCAGGTTAGCACTATTTTTTTCGAGCACACTGTAAAAGAACACTTGATTGGTGATAAAGCTCATCTGTGATTGAGTCAGGGCTGCAATCTGCCGGGGCGTAGGTGAAGATGAGACATCGTTTCTCACACCGAGTTCTTTTCACTCTGATAGAGCTTCGTAATCTAGTAACACATAATCAACTGTTATTGGGAATACAAACGATTAGTGCTGTCTCAGCTCCAGCGCTTAGTGAGACACTAACGCCAGCAAAACCAGAGGGAAATGACAAATTATCCCCGAAACAAGCTTTTGGAAGCGACAGATAAAGGACGAATCTGTAGTATATCACTAGTGTTGAACCCATGTCTCGGATAGACAACAGAAGTCGAAGTTATGATTTTATAAAGATAGTAAACCCTACCAGTTTTCCGATCTGCATTACTGTGTGACGTTGAATGAGGGTTGAAAGGAACGTGGTTCCAGAAAGGTTGGTTCGGAATTCGGTGGTAGCATTCAACTTCCAGTCAGCTAGTAACTGAGGATCGCTTACATAGGACAAGGTTCCCATCCATAGGCGAGTTGATGTAGAAGTTGAGAAATAAGGGAATACGCAAAATAGTAAAAGGGAGTAGACAAGTGACTCAATGTAAGGCAAAAACAAATGTCTTGTACTTTTAAAGGCTACGTTTTAGTCATCAGGTAAAATAGAGAAAACTGTTGCTTAGTATACTCACCCTTCCATCAATAGACGGATAACTTACATCAGATGCGTGACACAGAGTTAAGTGTCAATCACACAAAGACCATAGTTCAAACCGACACGTGATTATGGTGTTTAGAAGATCAAAAAAGGAGCGAAACGTACCTAACTTCTGCTGTTAGCTACAAAACATCCTTACTGAGCATGTTTATTTCCCTACAAAAGTGAAGTTGCAATCGTTTCCGTTCAGATTTTTTTATTTTGAAATATAATATTAGCTAACTCAAGATATATCGCTTCGTATAAAAATCAAAATTGTTTATCCATTTATACTTGTACATTATTAATAGTTCTCATATTGTTCATATGACCTGAGCGAGTGTGTACGGTAAACACTGATAACCTACCTAGTTAAACTAAAACAGCCACATCTACTACTAATCAACGATAAAGTTCAAGACAAAATGATTGGGAATTAAACCGTAAAGACCTCTAATAGTACACTTTGCTAAAGGACCCAATGTTTTAGTAACATGACTTTTACAGAGAACTTCGGAAAATAAGATATTAGAATCACGTCAACCAAACCTATGACATGGATTGATCATACTACGAGCTGCAATACTACAGTAAGCTAAGACGCGCTAACTGCCAATTAATTAGTGGTAAAAACTTATCTTACTGTTCCACACAAACGAAGTATTCATGACTAGAAAAAAGTGGATTTCATAAAATAAATAACAATACTGCAGAGGTTCATTAAAGTTAATTGTAATTGTTATATTTAACAATATACATCAGCATGTGCATAAAAAGCACTTATTATATCGAACCGACAAATTGATATTTAGTTGTGCAACTTTCAATTCAGGAAAATATATATGATTTTGGATTTAAGGATGACAGGTTGAGAAACAAACAATATGGAAATGCTGATTGACAGATAAACAGAAAGATGCAACTGATGTTTTGTCAGGCTCGATATCCATATAATTTGTACGAATATAAAGATACTGACCTTGATAAGATAAACTGAATCTTCCTCAACATGTCAACTAACGGTTTTATATTTTTCTAATACATAGCTCAAAATAATTAACATACCCAATTTTCCATAATCGTATATTGCATAAAACAAGAGGACAAATAAAGTAAAGGAAGAATCGATATATGTACACTCAGAGATTAAGCAATCATAACAACATCGAAGTCAATAAAAATAATACCAGTAAACGGGAACAATAAAGTCACAAAGTTTGTATGTGTGCAAAAATGCCATTGTTATTTTTACTACTTATTGTGTACAGCAGATTGAATCAAAACAAATAGGAGGCTGACAAAAAAGATTAGTCGCGCGATGAAAACATGTACAGAACGCGATTAATTTTAAGAAAAAGTAGAAAAGTAGCAGAAAGCTTACCTAGAATGATATCTAAAATCGCATTGTTATATATATATCGAAAGGAAAACAAAATTCATACAAAAGCCCAAACAAGTTAAGTTTTAAAATATTTGTATGTTTGTGTACGTAAGTACGTACAAAACAATTATTTAAAGTAACTTTTTAGTAAAACTGCTAGAGCAGATGTGGAATTATGCTAAATCAGATGAAGAGTTTATGAAGACCGGATACTGATGAAGGCCAGTTCACAAATATAGCTATTATAATCATCATTCAGACGCTTTGAAATTAAATTCCAGTTTTTAAATAAAGCCCACTGGCGCCCAATATAACATAGTGGTTAATTTATTGTATACAACATTTTCGTTTGCGCTTTTTACGATCTTTTCCCTTCTTCTCTTTCTACAAATATTTTCAAAAGCCATGTAAATTAGTGAGTATCAAAAACTATAATTTTAGAGGAAAGATCATGAAAATGATAAACAGTAGTGTTTAGTGCGAGAAATTTCTTCCAAGGAATACAAATAAAAAGGTTACTAGCAGCTTCGATTTGATGTACTTTTAATTAAACATTCAAAAACTAGCATTTCACTGTATCATGGTCGTCTCTAGGTAACTTTTAATAAAATGAAAACAGAAACTGTAGAGCATTAACATGCACTTATCTATTTTGATAGTTTTCTCCAGCTACTTGCGGTCTAAAACGTTCATATCAATTATCTGAAGTTCTCAAATAGCTTTATCATGCTCCCCCTGTTAATACAGAGAGAGAAGACATGCATATGAATTACGTAAAACCAACCGGTGATAAAACTGTGACAAAAATAAATTGGGTCGACCGTTTATAAGGCTAGTGAATATTCTAGAAAGCATAAATGAATCCGGGCAGCACATAAAGAAAACACCTATGTAGGTAAGCTAATGCAAGCTGGAAGATCCCTAGGTGAGTTTTCTGGTCCCTAAACTCATTGAACAGATAACGATGACTGTCTGCTACAACTACGCTCTAACAAATGTCATTCTAACCAAGCACTAACTTTAAGCATAGGACGACATTTGTATATGAACACTCCGAAATATCAACTCAATGGTACATATAGATCATACTGTCATCAGCTATCGTAGAGGGCGCTCAAAGAAAGTTACGCATTTCGGAGCTGATATTTTGACTGATCATGCTCCAGTGCGAGCACGCGTTTACCTGATTCTTTACTGGAAACATGAAGGTCACAACAGGAAGATATTCTAAAATTCGGCTTAAAAATGAAAAAGTTAGGCGTGTATGTCAGGAACAACCAGAGAAGCCCTTTGTCGATCATTAAGTGGTGCTCACCTTGATGTTGCTTCGGATGATATTCAGACAGCTGTGAACAGAGTAGTGCGACTTATGAGTGAACTTTACCAAGAGGTAAAGGGACAAAAGCTAATCTGAGGCGATGAACAGCAGCAAGGCAAGACGGCAATACTCCGGAAATCTTTAGGGATGGTGGTCAAGTTTTAACAGTTAGCTTAACTGATTTATCAACTGGAATCTGAGGGCCGGACGTAGTAGTCTTACAACACTGGTCCCGACCACTCCAATTTATAAAAAAGGATAGAAAACCTCTTGTGAGTAGTCTAAAAATACTAAGCTCCATGATCGTCCGACACTTGACTAAGACCCTAAGAAGAAAAAGACCAAGTCGGTTTATAAACCTTAACGTAGTGCATATAGTAAATATCCACTCTTCATCAAGTTCTGCAGCATACATGCTTACCAACACTTAACTATAACTGTATTTCTTGACCCTAGAGGCCACTTGACTATAAAAATCGGGAAGCCTTGTGGTTACCATTGATAGATGTATAGAAGTATGTGAGCCGTGATGACTCATTGCTTGGTCATTGTTGGTTGAGTCAGAGCTGATTGAGAACGATAAACGGGATTGGTCTGGTTCTACGCCTAGATAAATTATACTGAAATGGTTGAGTGCGTTAACCACTTCGCTAATCTTGGAAGTTTTACTAGACCCAGTAGTTTGGCGTTTCACGAAACCTTGGCACGGATTTAGGAAGTTCATTTTGGTTCCGGCAACTTTGTCACATGCGGCGTGAGACGTTCACCGTTTGATTGAAGGGTAAGGTATTGAGCAGCAGCCCTGTGTTCCTTCTCACGGCTTTGAAACGTAGCCTTCAAAAGTATAAGATATGCGAAGTTCACCAGCATTTAATCATAAGTATTCTCGAATTATTGCTCGTGTATGATAGAGCAACCGAGTGAACAATGCTGAGGTTAGACGTAGGGTACTAGGCAATGGTGGCAAATTGGCTGTTGTGTAGTGTTATCAACTGTATTGGGAACATGTTATATGAATGCCTTACTAGTTTTATTTAACACATTCGTATGTTTGTTAGTGTATTTCTAACTAGACATTGGGTTATTGAGGGAGGTAAAACTTTAATAACTATATTAGTTGGACTATTTTTGTTCTAATGATTGTAAAATCATTTTTACATTTTTACGAAATAAGGTCTTCATTTATCGATACCCAACAGTTATACTTACATCTAGCTCTCAAATGCTAGCTAACACCACTTAACTTTGCTGATAACAATAGATTACGAAATTCAAACAGCTCTGAAGAACCTCAGTCACAACACAGAACCTGATACGGTTCAAGTTGCCGTTCCACATTAGCACAGAGATGAAATCGTCAAGTTAAATCCCAAAATAGTAAAGTTAGTAACATTCAGTTGTAGTAAGAAAGACCAGGCATTAAAGATACCATTCGAGAAGACAAGCAAAAAAATTTTTGAACGTAGAATCTCAAAATTTGGGAGAAAACAAAGAACGGATGCATCTGTGCCATTGCAAACGATTTTGAGCCATGTGATCCATCGTCTCTATCCATTGGCTGCGGGATATACGTGAACCCTAACCAAGTGGTCTAGACCTATTAACATGGCCAAGTCCAACTATCAGCGACTTAATGGGTTGATGTCATGTGTTAGTTTGGTCACTCCTAGCTTTCGTCCAGCCTACTTCAATACCAGAAAACACCACTCATCGAAGTAGGTAGTGGTTGTGTTAGGGATGCAGAGGAATATGCCAATCATTATCATGTTAAGTCTAATGATGTCCTTGGACTTTAAATGGATATCCCCTATTGGCCATTATTTATTTCACTCGTTAAATATTGTACAGATGTTTTCTATTTTTATGGTACGATGTGGTCTGTTTGGTTGGTATATAAACAGAGTATGTTTGAAATATAACGATTCATATCTCAGAGGCTGTGACTTGTGTTCTGGACTCAACTGGCTGGGCTAGACAGGGAAGCAGGACCAATCGAGACTCCAGGCCGTTTATTACGTGTTACTGAATCGATCAATAAAACGCGCATCTAACCTGCAATCCACCCGTTACAACAGGTTGGATGAATGTAACGCAGATCTCAACCACCTTACCTTAGTTGATGAAGACTTACTACCTCGGCAACGAGTTTCCCATCCTTACCTAGTACTCTACTCCTAACCCAAGCATCGCTTACTTCGTGATCCCAAAATACACGAGCGATGCTTCCAAGACTTAAGAATATCCCCTACCCTTAATGGTCATTTTTCACATACACAAAGTAGAACAGAGCAAACTGCTGAGCAGTAAACTTGTCCTTTGGTTGATAGAAGGATATCTTGCCTACGCCACAAGTGACGCAAGTTGGCAGAAGTCAATCGAGCCTTCCGAATCCTTACCGAGATTTCGTCGGACAAGAGTATCGGAACTGATGAGACTCCTAAGTGAAGCGGTTGATGAGTTCAACTATTTCACCCCCTATCATTAATTAATGCGCTGATGTAAGTCAATCCTGAAGCAGCACTTTGCATTTGGACGAAGAGAACACGATCCCAAAATTTTTTGGATTGTTGCTTAAGGTGGTCAAAAGACTGAGTTTTTTCAGAGTCTTCACCAAACGGAACTATGTCATCTGTGTATTCTAAGTCAACAAGCGAATCTTTTGGTAGACCAACCCCTGGAAGTCAGACGATGAAAATCCTATCTCTAAAACCATGTCTAGGACAAATATGAATGAAAATGAGACTGAACAACCCTGACGAACACCAATTAAAGTAATCAACTTTGATGGCGGTCGATCATAAGCTCTGATTCGACAAGTAGCGTTCGCGTAGAGTTTATACAAGGTTAATGTACTTATATATATATATATATAACCACCACTGAGTTAACTACTATGAATCCGGTGTTCGTCTTATTGTGCTAATGACGTATGGCAACTTGGACCGATGCACATATGTGCCTGGTCCTACGTTGTAGCTGACTAACTGACTAATGTATTTATTTGGTAGGCTTTTCAATGATACACTGCCAGAAAACCTCACGATCAACGGGATTGGGCAACACCTTAAGGTTAAGGAATATAACTATAGTCGGACGTCGAAAATTATGTCTGTTTCAGAACCCACCGCATTGTGAATGTTTGGCTCATACACCCACATCCATGTCTGAAACCAGCATGATTTTCTCTAGTTTGCTCTTCACGAGCTCTAGTTAGACGTCAAAGTATTATTGGTGCAAATGTTTTAGACACTAGTTTAGTGAGACTGGTTCCTGTGATTTCTATTCTTTCTTATAGACTAGGACGATCAGCGATCGAGACCAGTCAGATGAGACTATATCCAGTTTTCAGATTTTAGCTAAGATTTCCGTATATCTAACCGCTAAAACCGGACCACCACCCTTAAAAATTTCAGGAGTTAGCCCATCAGGCTCCATTGTTCTGCTTGGCTTTAGATTACTTATAACTTTTCAGTCTTAATAAGAGTTGGCGGACTTAACTAATCCGTCATTCAGGTTGCTTGGAGACAGTGGCTAACTGATGTGTGGCTGAAGGCCAGGTGAACTGCTCCGTAAAGTCTACGTATCGTTTTAATCTCCTGCACTGAAAGTGAATAATACTCCAGTCTTTTTCCGAGATATTTCCACTAATAGTCGGATCTTTAATAGCCGTTTCCCTGATCAGTTTGAACAGTTGTCTGCCGTTACACATTTTTGTAACATTTTCCATCTCTTCTGCTTTCGCTATCCACTATTCCTCACGATCATTACGTAAGCTTCTTATCAGCCTACATTTAAGCTGCCTTCGCTCCTCATCGCGCTCGGAGCCAGTCAGAGCATCTATCGGTTCTGTAGACGCCGCTGAAATCCAGGATGGATACCACTTCTATGGATGACTAACTCCTTCCCTAGTAGTGTCCGGAATATATTCCCAAGATTTTCAATAATTTGAACTCGATGAGGTTTTTAGGTTGTGGCTTTTCTACGTCATTAGATGCAGAAAAATACGTGCTTGAATTAAAGTACGATCTAAATCTAAAAATGTGCTTCAAAATGAGCGAAAGTTTTT